CTCCCTTTTTTTGGGGGGTACCCCCCAAAAAACCCCCCCCCCGGTTTGGGGGGAACCCCCCCCAACCGCCCCCCCCTTTTTTGGGGGGGGTTTTTTCCCTAAAAACCCCCCCCTAGGTTTAGGGGGGTTTTTTTTTCCCCTAGGGCCCCCCCCCCCCCCCCCCCCCCCAAAAGGTGGTGGTGGGCATGGACGTGGCCTCCTCGGAGTTCCTGATGCCCGACGGGCGCTACGACCTGGACTTCAAGAACAAGGGCGGCGACCAGCAGCTGACCGGCGAGGAGCTCGGGCAGCTGTACAAGGACCTGGCCGCCAAGTACCCGATCGTGTCGATCGAGGACCCCTTCGACCAGGACGACTGGGCCAACTACGCGCCCTTCACGGCGGCCGTGGGTGACGCCGTACAGGTGTGGCTCCGTGTTCGTCGCGTGTGTTTGGATGGATGTACAGTAGTAGCATCGACCCTATAAGAAGCCGAAATCAAACCATTAGACTCAGTACACTATTACGGTCAGTCAGCTGTCTAGGCGGCCGTGGGTGGCCCCGTACAGGTGTGTGTATGTATGTATTTGATTTCGGCTTCTATAGACCGCGCCAACCGGCTGATGACCAAGGAAAAGACGTCAGTCTCAGTGCGGTTGAAAACACGAAAAGCTTGTATGTGTGTTTAACGCGTCCGTGGTGCGCTTTCGCGCCGAGCGTGTTTGCTTGCGGGTGCTGCTGCTGCTGCTGCTGCTGCTGCTGCTGCCCCCGAACGAGTATGGCCCAGTACTCAATCGTAGACTCAGCGTTGACTATGTGAACGGGGAGCCTTTTTTTTCATGCTTTTGTGTGTGCTGATGCGTCCCCCCCCCCCCCCCTCTCTCTCTCTCCGCTTTTCTTTTGTTTTTTCGTATTTGCCTGTCTGTCGCTGCTTGACGCGGTGGCGCAGGTGGTCGGAGACGACCTTCTCGTTACTAACCCGTCCCGAATCACGGAGGCCGGAGAGAAGAAGGCGTGCAACGCGCTCTTGCTTAAGGTGCGTTTGGTCCCGTTGTTGTTGTCGTCGTTCTCCGTGTTCTTCAAGACGGTCGTGATGAGCTGTACGTCCCAAACATTCGCGCTGATCCTTGAGATGAATGGGTGAGGTCTTCATGCATCAGAGGATGTGTGATGCAGAGCCTCACTTCTTCTTACCGAAAAAGTACACGTTTATTTTTCGAGTGCTTCAGTACCCCCAACATCAGTTCGAGGGGGTTCCATGCTCTTTTTGGTAGGCATTATGGCGCAGTGTGTGTTGTGCGTGTTTTATTTGAGCTGCTTTTCTCTCTGTGTTTTGAGGCTAGTTGGGGAATTGTGCTGGCGTGTATCGTTTCCCGGCGTGGTCTGCTGCACCAACGGTGCCCGCCGTGCGTTCACCGCCCCTTCCCCTAAAAGCATGGGTGCGGGGAGAGCAGGGTCTGTCTAGGCGGTGCACTTGTGCCAGCGTGTACTCGGGCGAGAACACCCGAGACAGAAGAGGTGATACGTTTCCTTGACCTTCGGACGCGCTGTGTGTGACGTCAGTGACGGAAGGAAGGGATTCGGAGGATAATCCCCTCCCGTCGATGGAGGCTATATTGACCTTTTGAATAGCGACGATGCGCCGTTGAAGGGGAAGTGCGTGGTGGTCAAAATAGTACGTCCCCCTATCTCATCGCCTCGTACTCGTGGATGACCACCGCCGCCACTACTGCCCCCACGTCTGCCGTGACACCCACAACGACAACGTCAACAACGGCCTCTTTCCCTACTTTCCTAGCGATGTCATCGCGCATGGCCACCAACGCCGCGGCCTCTGCCACCAGCTGCACATGTCGAAATACCAGTACCCAATTGCAACACCCGCCTACAACAATAACGGATGATCTCAACGCCGCGGCCTCTGCCACCAGCTGCACATGTCGAAATACCAGTACCCAATTACAACACCCGCAACTACAACAATAACGGATGACCACTCAACGCCGCGGCCTCTGCCACCAGCTGTATATGTCGAGATACTACCAACAACACCACCACCTGTATCGAATGTCGAAATACCAGTACCCAAATACAACACCCGCAACTACAACAATAACGGATGACCACTCAACGCCGCGGCCTCTGCCACCAGCTGTATATGTCGAGATACTACCAACAACACCACCACCTGTATCGAATAACACCCACAACAGGTGAACCAAATCGGGTCCGTGACGGAGTCCATCAAGGCCGTCACGATGTCCAAGCAGCTGGGCTGGGGGGTGATGACCTCTCACCGGTCGGGGGAGACCGAGGACAACTACATCGCCGACATCGCCGTGGGGCTGTGCACGGGGCAGATCAAGACGGGGGCCCCGTGCCGGTCGGAGCGCCTCGCCAAGTACAACCAGGCAAGCAAGCGGCCGAACGAACAATGCGATAGGAGGCGATGCGGCTATGTATTTTATTCTTAGTCTATGGAATAACGAGAGAGGGTTCGTATCCCTATCCCTCACCCCGCCCTGTACGCCCCTACTAAGAAAACAAGCTTGATATTGTCATCGCGAAAAGGCTGCTGACGATACGTTGGGAGGAGAACGCGCGGCGAAGTGGAAACCGCGCTTGAGTGTGTGGTGGGTCGCGACCCCTACGCAACCTTTTTTGGCAAAATACCGCAATCACCCAACCCAAAAGAGAACAAGTCAAAACTCTGAGGAAACGATGCGACGATTTGTCGACTGTTGCGTTTACCCGCGGGATTTATCATCACCCCCGAGGAGTGCAAGCATGCAAGCCAAGCCCTGGCTGGGTGTAGGTCCTGGCCGAGGGAGAGATGTAGCCGGGCAAGCGAAGCCACGCGTCAGGCGAAACGACCCTCGAGCTACAACTCTTGGCATACTGTTTGCCCTGTACCGCCGCCGGTTGTGCTGGTGGTTTGGCGGCGATTGGTTCTGTGTTTAACTGGCGCGGTGTTCTGCCCTCCCCTCCTCCCGTAGCCTGTCCCTTCTGCCTTGGGTGCGAAATTGATTATTGTTGCTTGCAGACGGCACGTTTGTTGCTCCTCTCTTGATCCCATTTTCTAGTTCTCGTTTTTTCGCATCACCTCTTCGATGCCTGCTGTGCTTTCTGTCAAAGGAGTCACGGGCGTTATGTTGTGTGGCGCGCTTCCATGGTCTAACCGCTAAGGCATGCAAAACATAAGAGTACGCCCCCTCCCCCCCCCCCCCGCCCTCTTCACGCGTTGTGTTGCACCCCCGTCCGTGCTTGTCGAATCAGCTCCTGCGCATTGAGGAGGAGCTCGGCAGCAAGGCAGTGTACGCGGGACAGAACTTCCGGACCCCGTCGTGGATGGGTTGAACGAAAACACAACACTTTTTTGTGAAGGGGCGTAAGGACAGTGGGGGAAAATGATCCTTTATGTAAGGGGAGTATGAATCCACTACATACACACCAAGTATATACGTATCTAGCATCGATAGGTCTTACTAGGTTCAAAGGGACCCGTTATTTTGTTTTGCTTACACTTGTTGGGTTTCATTTTGCCGCTGTCTCTCACGCCGCCGCGCGCGACTGCTGTGATGCATGCTAGTTTTTGGTACGCGTGGTGTTTTTTCGCGTAAAGACGCGGGGCGACAACAAAAAAGGAAGTGGGTGAAAGAGTTTCGCTTTTTGCGAGCAAGCAAAACGATACCAAACAATTGGTGGTGCGGTTTTTTCGAGGCGAAACCCGTCCATGGGTTTTCGTGGTAATCCCTCCCCAACGGTCAAATTCTGTTGGGGGGGTGGGGAGGGGGATCCACGGCCGCGCGAGGAGCGGGGGGGATTAAGGAAAAATAAATACACGCACAAAAAGACTACCCATTCGAGATGAGTCCGAGGACGCGAAGGCGGCCCACTCGTTGTTGTGTGTGTCGTATCGTCTCCACCGGAACCGTCACCAGAACCAGACTATCGTGGGGGTGCGAAAAGAAAGTCTCTGCATGTCTACATTCACATGCGGATGGAACATTAATGGTGGATATTTAGTTGTTCGTGCGCGCAGAGAGTCGAGTGTTTCAAAGTGTCTCAATCCTCGGGCAATGTTTTTGTATTTTTCGAGCGAATGTGCCGATGTTGGGTTTTTTTTTGGGGGTGGGGGGGGGGGGGGGAAGGGG